ATATATATATATATATATATATACTTGTTTCCATGAAGATACACTTCAAGACATCACATTATGCATTTTACAGCCATATCTAAACCATCAGATTACGCAATATCTGAACCATCGGATTCGTTCTCCCTGGTTCCCCCACTTCCCGACCCTATCCTTAATTTGCACACAGGACATGTCCCTTGTTGCTGGAGCCAAGGATCAATGCAGTTAGCATGAAACTAGACAAAAAGAAAAAAGAAAATAAGCCATTTATGATACACATGCACGCGCACACACACCCACACATGCACACGCACGCGCACCCTGCACACACACACCCACTGTGAAGGAGGAATAAGTTGCAACAGAAGTTACTTGACAGCCATCATGCTTTAATCAAACAAAATAAAAGATTGAGGTGCAGTGTCTTTGATTCCTTAGGTTTTATTTTTCAAATAAAGTTAGAGTCTAATATCAATGACAATATGAAAAATAAAACTTGGCATTAGTTGGTTCTAGTTATCAAAGAAAAACTCCAATTTTAATACCAAAATAATACTAAGAGCACCTACTGTATTAGTCTGAAGTTTTGTTCAGAAACAAATAATAACAGATTTTAAAAATTAATCCAGTTTAGTAAACAAAAAATTGGTATGGGCAAGATATTGATTGTTCCTCCCCACATTTCAAATTCTCTTATCATTTAAGGTAATGACGCATCTTCTAAAATGTATAAATTACTCTAATTACTACGACAAAACAGTCTTCTTTGATTGAAATACCCTCACTGAAAGAGTTAGAATAATTGTGAATTAGTTAAGTATACAGACAAAGATGAGCAGTATGCCTTAATTCGAATGGATTTGCTAGAATGGTATAATGAGAAAACTAAGAATGCTAATGATTATCACAAAATAAATCTGATAATATGAGAGATAAGTACTAGTTTCCACTAGGGCCGAATAACTTGAAAAACAACCAAAAAAGGAAAAGAAAGGCGGTGATCAAACCTGATGCAAGCATGGTAAGCTACGAACAAGCTCCCCCCTCTTAACTTGGTCCAAGCATATAGTACATGTCAGCTCATCTTCTGAGCCTCTGATACCTGCCTCTGTTCCTCCAGATTCTTGTTTAATCTGATTGACCATTAAACAAAGACACTAAAAACTGTTCCTTCCCCGGAATAAGTATGGAGGCCATCAAGTGGGGGCAATTTCTTCAAACATCTTGAATTAAAAGCATCATATATATATATATATATATATAT